AAAAACAATTTGCTATTGACTGCCAGTGGCCTCATTTGTTACACTCAGACCTATAGGGCCTCGAACCTCTGACCAAACTTACATGGTCTGCAACACCTTTTCATATTTCTGGGAGGACTATTCACATTTTATTCTCAAAATCTGTGATAAATAGAGTCCCTTAGCACTGTCAGCTTTTCCTATTCCCACTGACTTTATTATGGGCTTCTGCTTATTTCAGGGACTATCACAGGGAAACTGCCTATAGGATGCTATGTCTATGCAAACTAGCACTGTGAATGGGGGCAGAATAAATTAACATCCTATCCTTCATCATTCCACCACTCATTTGTTATTTGTTGAACTATGGTGGCATGCATGTTGCTGTGATGCTGGAAGCTATGCCACCAGTATTTTGAATGTCAGGAGGGTCACTCATGGTGCACAGATTTCAGCTGAGCTTTCAGATTAAAACAGACTCAGAAGAAGAAGAGGTGGACTACTTATGAATGTTTAGCCATTGAAAAGCAGTGAAACACTGTCAAATCACAAGATTAAATACTCAAATATGATGAGTAGTACCAGAATATTGTTAGACACAGTGCCAGAAGATGATTCCCTCAGGTTTGAAGGAATTCAAAATATGGCTGTGTAAGAGCTGTCTCATCAAAGTAAAGTTGACCATGATGTCATGAATGGAAAAAATTTCTTCGGAATCTTTATTGGCTGGTGAGGCATAACTCAAAATGAATAGAAACAGCTGCAAATATCCATTAATAACTGGAAGTTGAAATGTATGAAGTATGAATCTAGAAAAACTAAAGATGTCAAAATGAAATGGAATGCATATAGATCAATATCTTAGGCATTAGTGAGCTGGCCATTTTGAGAATCACATGGATTATTATGCCTAGAATGACAAATTGAAGAGGAATGGCATCACATTCATCATCAAAATGAACATTGCAAGATCTATCTTGAAATATAATGTTGTGATAGGATAACATCCATACACTTAAAAGGAAGACCAGTTAATACCACTATTATTCAACTTTACATACCAACTACTAAAGCCAGTGATGTTAAAAAAAAAAAAAAAAAAAGCTGGACAGTGAAAAAGGAAGACCATAATAGAATTGATGTTTTTGTGTAATGGTGTTGGAGGAGAATATTGAAAGTGCCATGGGCTGCCAAAAGAACCAACAAGTCTGTGTTCGAAGAAGTGTAACCAGAGTGCTTCTTGGAGGCCAAGATGACCAAACTTCGTCTCTCATACTTCAGACATATTGTCAGGAGGGACTAGTCACTGGAGAAGAATATCATGTTTGGTAAGGTGGAGGGTCAGAGAAAAAGAGGAAGACCCCCAGAGAGATGGAATGGCAAAGTGGCCATATCAATGGGCTCAAGCATGGCAACAATTGTGAGGTTGGCCCAGGACTGAGCAGTTTTTTGTTCTTTTGTGTACAGGTTGGCTATGAGTCAGTATTGACTCGATGGCACCTTACAACAACAATACATAGAAATCAAATTGACTGTATCTGTATAAAGATACAATGGAAAGCTCCATAGAATCAGCCCAAACCAGGCCAAAGGCAGACTGTGGAACATTCAATTACTCATATACAAGTTTAGGTTGAATATGAAAGAAATTAGAACAAGACCATAAGAGCCAAAATATGATCCTGAATTTAATTTAAAGATCATATAAAGAACAGATTTGACATATTAGATACTACTGATCAAAACCATAAGATTTGTGCAATGATATCAAGAACATCGGACAGGAGAACCCAAAAGGTCATTAAGAAGACAAAGAAGAAAGAAAAGACCAAAATGGATGCCACAAGAGACTCTGAAACTCACTCTCCAGTGTAGAGATACTAAAGCAAATGGAAGAATTGAGGAGGTAAATGGAAAATTTCAAAGGGCGGCTCAAGAAGAAAATATCAAATAGCATAATGAAATTTGGAAAGATCTTGAGCTAGAAAACCAAAAGGGGAGTAAATATTAAGCATTTTTTTTAAGCGGAAAGACTGAGTACAAAACGTAAGCATCAACTTGCAATACTGAAGGACTCTAGGCAAAATATTGAAAGATGCAGAAGACATCAAAATAATATGGGAGGAATTCACAGAGTCTTTGTACCAAAAAGAAATGGTCAATTTTCAACCATTTCAAGAGGCAGCATATGATCAATAGCTAATGGGTCTGAGGAAGAAGTTTAAGATGCACTGAAGGCATTGGAAAGAACAAGACTCCAAGAATTGATGAAATACAAATTTAAATCTTTCAAACATACTGATGCAGCACTGGAGGCACTCGCTCATGTATTCCAAGAAATTTGGCAAACAGTTACTTGGCCCACTGATTGTATGTAAAAGATCTACATTTGGTCCCATTCCAAATTGAGGTGATCCAACAAAATGCAGAATGACAGACAATATCATCTTCACACGCAAGTAAAATTTTTCTAAAAATAATTTAAAAATGCTTATAACAATACATTGACAGTAAATGGCAATACATTCAAGTTGTATACAGATGAGGATGTGGAACAAGGGATATCATTGCTGACATCTGATGAATTTGGGTTGAAAGCAGAGAATACCAGGTAGATGTTTGCCTGTGCTTTATTGATTTCACAAAGGCTTTCAGTAGTGTGGATTATGATACAATATGGAAGACATTTCAGAGAATGATTATTCCAGAACATTTATAAATGCTCATGAGGAGCCTATACATAGACCTATACAAGAGGCTGTTATTTGAACAAAGCAAGGGGACACTGAATGGTTTAAAATTGGGAAAGTTGTTTGCCAGGTTTGTATTCTTTCATCATACTTATTAAGTCTGTATGCTGAACAAATAATCCAAGAAGCTGGATATATGAAGAAGAATGTGGCATTAGGATTAGAATTAGGCTAATTAACAACCTATGATATTCAGATAATGCAACCTTATAAAATACTTACTAATGAAGATAAAAGACAGAACCTTCAGCACAGGTTTCACCTCAATGTAAAGAACACAAAAATCCTCATCATTGGACCAATAATAGCATAATTAATGGAAAAAAGATTGAATGTGTCAAAGGCTTCACTTTACTTGGATACACCAACAGTCATGAAAGCAGTAGTCAAGAAACCCAACAATGAATTGTATTAGGCACATATACTGCACAAGACCTCATTAAAGCGTTCAAGAGCAAAGATGTCAGATTGAGGACTAAAGTGCTTGACCCATATTTTCAATAGTCTCACGTGCATGTGTAAGATTTTTACAAATTGTCAATTGCAACTCCAGTCTATAAATATACTTAGTAAATAATGGAAATCTCCTTCTGCTATTCTATGAGCCTTACAGATCTGACCTCTGACATATAACTACCCTGAGAGTCACAGTCTTTTGCTGCCTGGACTTTCATTTTCTGAACATAGCAAGCTCCTGCCAATTTAAAGAATTTACATTTATTCTTCATCACTCAGGAAGGTCCTTCTGTCAAAATTGCATCATGATCATTTGTCTTCCTTCATTGTATTTTAAAACATATTCCACATAGAAATCATTTGCATTATCTGAAAGAATTCTTTACTTTTTTGTTATTGGTTTGCTGTCCTTATCACATAGCTAGAATGAAAGTATAGTAGCATTTCCAGAGTTTAAAACAATGCATAAAGGCTTCCCCAATATAATCTGATTGGATGTCTGAATGAGTGGCAAAGAAAGCTCGTGAGTGAAGGCTTAAATCATGGTTAATGATCATCATCCACTGTCTTTTTCAGTTTTTACTGTCCTTTTCAGTTTTGTCTATAATTTAATGATCATATCTTGATGAGATTGTTCAGGTTTCAAAGTTACCATGAAAATTTCCAAATTTAATCAAGCCTCATACAATGTTAGATTATTTAAATTGATCAAGTCAGTTGCTTTGAAGTTATAGTCATACTTCCAATACCCAATTCCAAGTGAAAAATTATTTTCTGTGGCCCAGATTTGTATGGAAGTCATATGAATCTCTTAAAGTAAATATCAATTACAGAATTTTCATTAATCTTTGAGCAATTAAAGAACAAATATATAAATTGAACTTCACCATTTTGCCATGTGTACTTAATTTAGAAAGTGGACTTCATCTAGAAGAGATCTACAAGAAAGAAGCTAAAAATTAACCCTCCTCTTTAAAATATTCTCAATAATTTTTAATTACATAAATTGATTTAATAATTCATTTACTAATGTTTGGAGTCCTGGTGTGACACAGTAGGATAAGAACTGAACTACTAACCTTAAGTTTGGAAGTTCAAACTGACCAGCTGTTGCTTGGAAACCCTATACAGATTCGCTATGTTTTAGAACATACTCTATAACACTTAAAGGAGCTCTGGTAGCATAGTGGCTATGAATAGGGCTGCGAGCCGCAAGGTCAGCAGTTCGAAACTACCAGTTGTCCGTGGGAGAAATATGAAGCTTTCTGCTCCCGTAAAGATTTACAGCCTCGGAAACCCTGTACAGGGTCACTATGAGTCGGAACCGACTTCACAGCACATAACAACTATGATACTTAATAACAATAAGACAATATTTTAAAATATTTTTCCTACAGTAATTTTCATTAATGCTGTATCTCTCTTCTTATACCTCCAGGCCAAAATCAACCACAATGGATGAAGACAACAGTACTTTATCTAGTGACTTTACCCTTACTGGGCTCTTCACACACAGTAAAGTTTCAGGTTATCTTTTTAGCTTAATTTGTGCCATCTTCTTCATGGCCATCATAACAAATGGGGTCATGATCTTCCTGATCCACATAGATCCTCACCTCCATACTCCCATGTATTTCCTACTCAGCCACCTCTCCTTCATTGACATGATTTATATCTCCACCATTGTGCCTAAGATGCTGGTTGATTATCTTTTAGGCAATGAGATCATCTCCTTCATTGCCTGCACAGCCCAGTATTTTCTCTACATGGGATTTGTTGGGGCAGAATTCTTCCTGCTGGGTCTCATGGCCTATGATCGCTATGTAGCCATCTGTAACCCACTCCGGTACCCCGTCCTCATGAACCGGCGAGTCTGCTGGATGATCTTGGCCAGCTCTTGGTGTGGGGGTGCTTTGGACAGTTTCCTCCTTACTCCCATCACCATGAGTCTCCCTTTCTGTGCCTCCCACAAGATAAACCATTTTTTCTGTGAGGCTCCCACAATGCTGAGACTGGCATGTGGTGACAAAGCTGCCTATGAAATGGTGATGTACGTTTGTTGTGTCATGATGCTGCTTATCCCCTTCTCTGTGGTTATCGCATCCTATGCTAGAATTCTCATCACAGTGTATCAGATGAAGTCAGCAGAAGGGAAAAAAAAGGCCTTTGCTACTTGTTCTTCGCACATGATGGTGGTTACACTGTTCTACGGTGCTGCTTTATACACATATATGCTTCCCCAGTCCTACCATACCCCTATCAAAGATAAGATTTTCTCCGTCTTTTACACAATCCTCACCCCCTTGTTAAACCCTGTAATCTATAGCCTGAGGAACAGGGACGTGACAGGTGCCTTGAGGAGGGTTTGGGCAAGATGTAATGGAGTCCTGTGTAGTGAAACAAGAGAAGAATTCTGATTGTGTAAATCCTTTACAATCTTTCAAACGTGTGTTTGTTCTGTTATTTGAAGTATGGGCATTATGGATAATCCAAGAAATAACCACAAATGCCAATTTATATATTAAAGGTGTATCCGCAGTACTCTTGCCAAACTTTGTCAAAAATTTAAAACCATCTGCCTTAGTTATCTAGTGCTGCTATTAACAGAAGTACCAGAAGTGAGTGACTGTAGAAAACATAAATTTGTTCTTTCACAGTGTAGAAACCTATGAGTCCAAATTCAAAGCACCACTCTGGAGAAATATCCTTGTCTCTTTTCAGTATCTGCAGTCCCAAAATTCCTTAGAGATCTCCATGTGTCTTGACATAAATCTTCTCTGAGATCTAGCAGCTTCATCTTTCTGTGACCCCAGATCCAAAGGAAGAACTGCACTCCTGACTTTGCTTTATTGGTGGTAGTAGGTCCTCTTTCTCTGTTCACTTATCATTCCTCTATCTTTGTAAGATGAAACATGTTGCAGGCCACAACTCTGGGAAAGTCCCTTACATGGATTCAGGGCTGTTAAGTGATTAAGGGTATTGTTGTTAAATGCCTTCGAGTCCGATTTATAGTGGAACAACATCCTACTTTTATCTGTAAGGCTTACATTGACTGATTTTTCAGAAGTAGTTTTCAAGGCCTTTTTTCCTAGTTTATCTTAGTCTGGAAGCTCTGGTAAACCTGTTCACCTTGGATGACCCTGCTGATACTTGAAATACCAGTTACAGTATCTCCAGCAATACAAGTGCAGGCAAGTCACTGTAGTATGACAGACTGGTTTTCTTCTCTAAACCACCACCCATCACAGCCATCAAGTCAATCTGACTCACAGCGACCCTGTATAGGGTTTCTGGGAATGTAAATCTTTATGGGAACAGAAAGCGTCACCTTTCTCTGAAAGGCAGCAGGTGGATTTGAAGTGCCAACCTTACAGTTAGCAGTCCATCAGGTCTCTTAATCTGATATTCTTTAAATTCTAGGCTCTTTGAAACATCTCTCTATAATACTGTGGTTTCACAATTTTGACAGATACAGACTGGCTTCAGTGATGTTTTACTACTCACTGGACAGTAGAGACACTGGGTAGAGTAAATGCAACCAAGCCACCTATTATATTGCTTGATTTTATAATAAATATTGAATGAGCTGGGACAGGCCACATTTGGATACTTTGTATTGCACTCATGTGTTTGTCAGGAAAGCTGATATATCCATCTAAATAAAGCATGATTACCAGATGCAAATCAACATGACATCTATCCCTAGGTTCTCTGTTCAGAGGTTTCATTTCCTTCAACCTCATCAGACTGGCTCTATATCCCAGGTGACTGGAGAATGTATGCCTAACCTGGAAAATTGTGAAATAGAAGAATCCCACAAAGTAGAAGAGACTGAGTTAAGAAATCAGTTTCAATGTCAGCTCCATGTTTAAAGACTATACAAACTTCTGTAAATCATAAATGTTTATGAAGCACAATTTCCTTTCCTGTAAAATGTCAGTTAATATTCTTTTTTTTTTGAGAATGACTTTAAATATCAAGTAAAATGACATTTTCTATAATATTTATCAATTCTGGATATCTGGCAGCATATTTGGTTATATGTTGGGCTGCTAACTACAAGGTCAGCAGTTCAAAACTACCAGCTGACCCTTGGGAGAAAGATGAGGCTTTCTGCTCTTATAAAGATGAACAGCAACAGAAACACTATACATGGTTGCTATGAGTCAGAACAGACTTGACAGCATGCAACAAAAACAACATATCTTATCTAGTTGTGGTTAGCTGTTCTTAAAAAAAAAGTGGTCTTTGATACTATATTGTTCATAAATATATTTTTTCTACATTCCACTTTTTTCTCTTCTCATTGTATGTCTTGTTTGTTTGTTCTGTTTTTGGTTAATTACACTGTGCCATTTGTTGTTGTTGTGTGCCGTGGAGTCGGTTCTGACTTAAAACAACCCTGTACAGGGTTTCCGAGGCTGTAAATCTTTACGGGAGCAGAAAGCCTCATCTTTCTCCCGCGGAACAGCTGGTAGTTTCGAACTGCTGACCTTGAGGTTTGCAGCCCGATTCGTAACCATAAAGGAGTGATAATGGGTAATATTAATATCCTACTACAGTATCGGAGTCCTCATGTGGTGCTGTGGGTTAATGCGCCAGACTGCAAAACCGTTCAAACTGCAAGCTCAGTGGTTCAAGCTCACCAGCTGCTCCTTGGAAACCCCATACAAGGTCACTATGGGTCGGAAATGACGACACTTGACAACAACAGTATTGACAGTGTCACTATGAGTTGGAACCAAGTCGATGGCACTTAAGACACCAACAGTGTAAAATATAAAAATATAAAAATATTTTATATGAAAAATTAGAAAAGAATACACAGATATTTCTTGGAAAATGCAGTCATAGCTTAGCAGGTAAAACAATTTTTGGCATGAGTTTATATAGTTAATAAATTTAATCCACATAACAACAGAAGCATTCATGACTGCAGGAGTGATTAAAGAAGTGTAATGTTCATAACGTTACTAGTAAAAAAAAAAGATTGATAAATTAAATTCAGCCATTATTGTTGATACAAAATCTTACATGATGATTAACCATAGAAAGTAATTCCTTAGAATAATGAACTGTATCTACCTGAAATTATTGACGAATTCAGGCAAAAGTAAAAGTGTTTTCACCTTTTAAAACATGCAACACTTTTATAAACATAAAATCTGAAGAACCCACACAACCATATTGAAATATTTTACTTGATAAAGAATTTTTAAAAAATTCTTTATAACAAAAAATGCAAAAACAAAATAAAATAGGGGGGGAATATATGAGAAAATGTGAATACTATATAAGACATATATGTGGCATACATATTTCATAATGTAATAAGTAAAGAGAAAAATATATAAATAAGAATACCCCACAGTATTTCAGTTAGGTTGGTTGGTTGGCTAGTTGGTTGGTTCAAACCAACCAACTATTCTACAGGAGAAAAATGAGGGTTTCTAACACTATAAATTAGAATCAAATTAATGACAATAGATTTCGATTTGGGTAGAGCATTTCTAATAATGACAGATTTTGAAAAGAACAAGAAGATACTGAATGGTATAAAATCAGAAAAGGATTACATCAGAGTTTTATCCTTTCACCATACTTTTTAAATTAGTATGCTGAGCAAATTATCTTGGGTTGGAAACCCTGTACAGGGTCGCTATGGGTCGGAACCGACTCGACGGCACGTAACAACAACAACAAATATGAAGATCAAGGTAGTTTTAGGAGTAGAGAAAAATTCATTGACAACCTGCAATATGCAGATGCCACAACCTTGCTTGGTGAAAGCCAAGAGGACAATTTGATGAAGTTCAAAGACTATAGCCATCAGTATAGATTGTACCTCAATGTAAGAAAATGAAAATCCACACAACTGGATCAATAAATAACATCATGATAAATAGAGAAAACACTGAAGTTGTCAAATAATTAATTTACCATGGGTCCAAAATCAATGCTCATGGAAGCAGTGGTCAAGAAATTAAATGACATATTATATTATGCAAATCTGCCGCACAAGATCTCTTTAATGTGCTAAATAACAAACATGCCTTTTTGAGGACTAAGGTATGACACAAGCTATGGTATTTTCAGTTGCCTCTTATGCATGTAATCAGAAAGAAATTCAAGCCAGATTCAGAAGAAAACTTGGAAGTAGGAACATAATTACTGACAGCAGATGGACCATGGCTGAAAGCAGATAATACCAGAAATATATTTATGTGTACTTTATTTACTATGTGAAGGCTTTCAGTTGTTTGGATATAGATAAATTATGAGTAACTTTGCAAAGAATTGGTATCCAAAACACTTAATTTTTTTAATGAGAAAACTACATAGATTAAGAGTCAGTTGTTAGAACATACGAAGGGTTTTAAATCAGGAAATGTTTGCAATTGGGTTGTATCATTTCATCATATTTATTCCATCTGTATTTTGAACAAACAATCTGAGAAACTGGATTATATGAAGAAGAACAAGAACATTGCATCTGTATTGGTATAAGACTCATTGACAACATTGATTGCTGAAAGCAAAGAGGATTTAAGTAATTACTTATGAAGATCAAAGAAAACTACCTTCATTATAGATTGCACTTCATTTTAGAGAAAACAAAAATCCTCACAACTAGCCCAATAAATAATACGGTATTGGAAAAAAGGTTAAAATTGTCGAAGGCTTCATTTAGCTTGGAACCACAATCAATATGTATGGAAGCAGCAGTCATGAAATCAGAGGACTGAATTCATTATGCAAATCTGCTGCACAAGTCCTCTTTAAAGCATTAAAAGAGCAAGGATATCAATTTGAAGACTCAGGTTATAATATTCCTTGTCGCTATGTACCATCAAATCTGTTCTGACCCTAAACAACCCTATGCACAACAGAAAGAAATATCTCTTGGTACTATGCAATCCTCACAATTGCTGCTACACTTGAGTCCACTGCTACTATCACTGTGCCAATTCATCTCTTTGGGGGTCTCCCTCTTTTTTGTTGACCCTCCAATTTACCAAGCATAATGTCATTCTCTAGGGACTTGTCACTCATGAGAATATGTTTTAAGTGTGAAAGACAAATTCTGGCCATCTTAGATTCTAAGGAGCATTCTGGTTGTACTTACAACAAAATTTTTTTTGTTCTTTGTTTGTTTGTTCATGATGCCTTTAGTAGTCTTCTCCAATACCATAACTCAAATGCTTCAGCTTTACTAAGTGAAAGTAGGACAATAAACAAAAAATTATGTAGAATAATCAAGGCATTTGAATTTGGGTTTTGGAGAAAAATATTACAAGTACTATAACCTGCAAGAAGAAACAAATCTGTCTTGTAAGAAGTAAAACTAGATTTTTCCTTAGAAGTGAGGATGATGTGACTTTGTGTCTGATGTTTTTTACATGTTGGCAGGAGGAAC